TGCCGCCGCTTCCTCCTCACACTCGTGTTTGGGCTGACCTTCACCTCGCCCACCTTTAAAGCTAAATGTCATTCTTCAAAAAAATTTTAATATCTTTTGCAGATTTTTTTTATCCACGGTTGTGGGTATAGATGAAGTTTTTAAGCTCTACAAAATTGTGCTGAATCTTTATTGCTCCTGAGTATAGTCAACTCTTGACTTTGTTAGTTTAATAAACAAGTGGGATGCATAGATAATATTACATTTACTCAGTGAAGGGTCTATAGTGTATAGCAGAGAAAAAGATAGTAGTGATAATATTGAATAGAGAGCAAAAATTTCTTCCCAGTAGTAAACTGGCATACTCTGAATTGTTTTCAGACACAAGTTGACTTACATGGAGCTCCCTTGAGCAGGAGTGGGGAGAGATGCCCATAATCTCTATCTATATCCTCCCTTAGAAAGTTGAGAGCTAAGATGTTACCCCCAAAAAAGACCCCTCTTGAAATAAAAATTAATATAGACTTGCCCGTGATTAAATTAAACATGCCTTCTGGTTCATGAAGAACTAGATCTTCATGAAATGAAGATAGAATGACATACTACAGTGTTGAGCATGCAAAAGTAAAGTAGCCTGGATTTTACAAAATAGCCAAGAATACTAGGTGCTATTTTGTTTTTCAGTTTAGTCTGAAGTGTGAAACACACAGTTCTTAAAAAAAAAAGCCCCATAGACTCTTGTCTTCATGCATGAGTCATAAACTGTAATCAGTACTCATTCCAGTTAGCTACCTCACTCAAACTCTTACAGTTTGCTGTTAATTTTCACTTTAAGCTTTCTTAACAGTGTGCAAGAAATGTTACCTTCTGAAGTTGGTAATCCACAAAATGGCTCAAAAGACATGTGACTAGTTATGTCTCTAAAAATAATTAATATAATAGGAAAACTGATGCTGGAAGAATTAAGAATACTTCTTCAAATCTGAGTGGCCAGAAGAAAGACAGGGAAGAAAGGTGTTTACATGCCCTGAAAGAACAACAATGCCTTCCTGTGTCCTCCTTTCTTCCCCTTTCAGACCCCTTTTTGGGACAGAAAGGGGAAGAAATTCTGTTGTGCAATTCAGAACCATGGAACATGCAGAATTCCAACAGGGGTGAAGAGGAGTGGTTTTGTTTCCATCTCCTTTTGCTTACTGTAGCATTCTGGGCTGGTGTTTGGGGTTCTTGTTGGGTTTTTTTTGGTATTTCTTGCCAAAAAGACCCCAAACCAGCATGTAGTCTGGAGTATGAGTCTTCTGCTTAAATTGCTGATTTGATCTAAAAACTCAGGGACTTATAGGAAAGGATTTTGTTCGTGGGGTAAATCTGGCCAGTGCAAAGCAGATGGGCAGTAGCAGGGAGAAGTGACTAGTCGGGTGGAGGGACAAGGCTAGGTAGCCCTGTTTTAAAGGCCAGGGGTGGGTGGGTGGATGTGTGGCAGGAATAAAGACCTGAGGTGTAGAGAAAGCAAATGACTTGTCCAGAGTTGCACAAGAAGTCTCAAGTCAAAGATAGCTACGTGGTCTAGCAGATAAACTTTTTTTTTTCTTTCCCTCTCTTCTCTAGAAAGGCTATTTTCAGCTCTAGCAACTCATTGAGCCCTTTGCAAAGATTATTATTAATTTTACATATGCAGTTTCTGTGAGATCATTGCAAAGTTGTGCACTTTTATTTCTTGGATGCACAATGGATTATTTTGTGTTTGTTTACATTTACTTTTCCTTGTCTTCAAGGTCTAGCACTTCAACGCTTTTGCTTTTGCAAAAACATAGGACTGCATCTTCTTTCTTTGTAAAGTTCTTCCTATTGGAAGGAACATTTAATTTCAGTTTTTAGTGGCTGGGCTTCATTGCCGGAAATGACTGTAGTGATTGAAGTTCCTCATAGCGTGAACACAGAATTGACTTGTAGCTTGGTGCGCTAAGGAAACGCTTCATAATCTATGGTGACTTTCTACTCTGGGAAATATGCAAAACCCCAGTACACATGAAAACACAGGCTTACAGTCCCAGCCACCTCCTGAGGAGCAGAATTATGGAGCTACTGCAGCACATGTGAGACATGGTCTGTCCGTGTCTGTGTCAAGGAATGGTCCAGCAAAGAGAAATTACCTGATAGCTGCTGTGCTGTGCTATGCAAATTTAATAAATTTCATGGATTGGTTCATTGTACCAGGTGAGAGCCTATTTTCTCCTTCTAAGGAAAAAGAAATTTAAGTTCTCAACAGCTCTACTTTGTAGTTACAAATGCTTTCTAAAGTAAGGATATGCTTTATGTCTTTTTAATATTTCTCTCTTATCTGCTTTAGCCTGTTGATCATACTCTTAATGAAACTTCCAATTACAAATCTTGAAAGACCAATAAATGATGTATTAGTTATTAATGTTAGGTAGAATGCTGATAAAAATCACATCTGTTAAATGCTTAAGATTCATATTTTTAAATCTAAGTCTTTTATAAACAGACTTTAGCATGCAGAGCAACTACTCTATTTTGTGTCTGAATTCTACAGAGCTTTGACAAAGAAGCTTCCCTTTATTGTATACAGCAGCTTACCAGGCCTTATTTGGATCTAGGAGATTAGATATGGCATCCCTTTATCTGAAGAATAGTGATGCCATTCCCTCCGTTAAAAGTACAACAAATATGTTATCTTTGTGCAAGTTTGTTTAGGGGGAGGCTTAACTTCCTCATGGTCTGCTGGAAATTGTGTGATTTCTGCAATGATGTAGAGTGTAACATGATTGTGTAAAGAGAATGGAGACCCACTTCCACAAGCATTACCTACCAAATTTACAATTTATTTTCTAACAAATAATATCCTTCTTCCAAAATGTGATTTTTTAATTTTTTTTTTTTTTTTTTTTTACCTAGCTGTGAACAGCAAAGCATTGCTTCTAGTAAACTGGTGGGAAATCTATGTTTTTTTCCTCCCATGTACACTGTGATCTGTATAAATTCTTCTATTTAGCATCACTCCTAAGCATCTACCATGCTTCCAGGGATCTGATTTATAAATTAGGAGGAAACACTTGTTGTGAACTTGTTATATTTTACTTCTGAAGGGCCTGGAAATCATAACTTTTAAAACCTTGAAAAAAACCAAAGGATGGATTGTTAAATTTGGAATTAATATCTAGTAATATGCACAAACTAATTATTTTTACTACTTAGACCATTCAGAATGTTAAGACATTCAGCCAGTATCTTTAAAAATTGAGAGGCTAGTGAGTTTAAGAGTTTAAGCTTTTTTCTTTTGAGTACTTCTTAACCACACATATAAGAGGGAAGGAAACAAGTAGGAGTGCATGCTGAATGATACTGCAAGACTGTTAGTGAAAAAACTTCAATGTGTGAGTTCTATTGCCAAGTAACTTTCCCTGGAGAAGGGCAGGGGACAGGAGAGGATGAAAGTATCTTCGAGCAAGAACTGGGATGCTAGGAGGGTATGCACTTAGAAGTATTAAGTGCAAGCAGTCACTGGGCTCATTCCAGGCTTTGAACTATCCTTTGGCTCCTGTGCATGCTAAGAGCTTAAAATTTTCAAAAAGGCCTGTGAAGTAAAGCTTGCCGCCTTGTTAACATGCTCAGTTTCTCGTGAGTGAGGTACCTTCAGGGACATGTAAGAATTCAAGAGCAGAGGTGGGGGCTAGTGTCCAGGCCTTTGAAATATCAAACATCTACTTTCATTGCAATATATGACTAAAACACCTTTTAGTTAGCTCTAGGACCTCTTGGGCCATGGGGGATATCTGTCAATGCAGTTTATTACCACAGCAATACACTGTTCATCTGCTAGAGTTCAGCTGCATTGCAGAATTCTTGCATCAATACTTTTGAGTTTGTCTGTCCATATATATGAACATACTGTTAAATATAAGTTAACAGGAAAATGAAGAAGGAGAGGCTTGAGTATTTGTTTAAAAGTAAGCTGGTGGCAGTTACAAAGTTGTGGTTTCCGGGCAGTTTTGCTAACAGGCTTTGACGGAGTTTGCATCAATCTTCACACAGAAAACAAGCTCTTCCACTTAATGGTCTGCTGGAACTGAGTCTTCAGTTTGTTAAAGATGGTGATCATGCAGACTGTCCCCTCTCTGATCTGTTACTCTGTTCCAAGCTGTTCAGATCAATGCTTTGTAATTTGCCAATAACTGCTCAGGCCAGTTATTCCAGTTATGTGGTGGGGATAATATTTTAATGGTGCTCAGTGTGAAAGTTATTTTGAGATGATGTTGTGGTTCAGTTCAAGTCTTGTGTTAGCTGTCATTTGTGCTAAATACTCTATTAGTCCAAAACTGAAGTTCCTGTAATACAGTATTTCTGTGTGTTGATAATCGGCTACCAGAAAGAATAGATGATTGATTGTCCTGTTTTAATGATGCAAAATGTTTGAATGAAGTCACTGACTTAAACTTCTATTAGGAAAACCCTAAATGCAGAATAAGTTCAAGAGTAACTGAGAAACAGCTATAAATCCTCCAGTGCTACTGTTAGGCTAGACCTTGATCTACACTGACGAGTCACATCAGTAAATGGTGAGGAGACTGATTATGCTGCAGCCACAGGTACTGTGGGAGAGCATAGATTTACCGTTAAGCTAGCTGGCTCAAGAATGCTTTTAAGTGGCTGCAGCAGCATAGTATATGGCATAACACATAAAACGCATGTAGGAGCAGAGTAGGAACCTCTTGCTAACCCTGAGCTCCATTCTGCTGCAGATCAGCTTCTGTGAACATAGAAGACAATTTACACCAAACTTATTTTCTTAAGTGGTGGCTTCATTCTCTTAATAATGTTTTGATTTTGACTATTTTGGCAAAACTAGAGCTGCATGAACAGAAATTTCTTTTTTAATTGCTATCTTTCAATATCAAAGTAAAGGTATGCTTATTCAAAGCACTATCTTCTTTTTTTTTTTTTTTTTTTTTTCAGGAATATAATGCAGAAATGCAAGATAGGTGAGATGGTAGATCTGCAGCCTTGGCATGATGTAGAGATAAAAATGACCTTTTTGTCTCAACAGCATTCAAACATCCATGAGGTGCCAGATCCATGGATCTTCCCTCAGTCTGTTGCTTGTGTGACTTTATTCCACACTTTTTGACAACTCTTCTAGCTTTTTTTCACAGATATTGAATGGTTAGAAATCGAGATGGAATTTCTGTCAGCTGTTTGTCACAAATAGAAATGATCACTTTTGGTGAAGCTTGTCTGTCATTGTCACCACCAAAAAAGTTAATTTGTAAATCCACAGTTATCTATATCTCATCTGATCTCTGCAAAATTGTCATGGAAATACAAACAGAATTACACAATTGGAACCATGATCTGAATTACAGTAGTATTTCTCTAGCTATGGGCTGATTTAGCCACCATTGGCTAATGAAGACTGTAGCCATTTGCATCCTGAAAAATCCAACATGCACTAATTTGAATACTGTATATACTGAAAATATTAATAGTATTCTTAACAGAAGGAAATTCAACTCATCTTAATGTTTTAAGGTAATTAGGAAAATTTTAGGATTAGCTGTATGAAGATAGCAATCTCCTTGCTGCAAAACTTTGCTACTGTTTTGTTCTACATAGTGTCTATTAAACATTGAACTGTAAACTGTTTATGTGCTTATGTACTAATGGTGTAAAAGAAATAGAGCAGTTATGATTGAAATAGCGGGTAAACTGACTCTCATAAGATCTATATAGTAGAAGATCATGAATATTATCTATAGTGATAAGAATTTTTAATTCTCTGTGTATCTGTGCTTGTGGCAGAGTAATGGTTTATATGTAAACTAGGAAGCTAAATGTGCTGCAGTTCTTGCAAACCCTGTTCCTTGAAATAAATCTTTGAGTTGGCAAATGAATAGAATATCAAGGAATGAGCAGGGTACTTTGCTGTCATTCAATGTTTGACTCTGTTGCAGGGATCCTGTTGGATATACAGAAATACTTCAAGCTTAGCGATGGGGATACAGGTCTACTGCAAACAGGTAATAAAATAAAATCTCTTAAGTTCAGATAGCTTACTTTGCCTTGCATCTATGTGGTCTGTTCCTAAAACACAGTCTAGTTACTTATTTCTTCTAGTTCCTACTCGTGTGGTATTGCTCACTTCCACTTGTGGGCAGGCTGACTATAATGCAAAACTGAAAGTCTTTGGTTCAGTGAAGACTGGAGTTGAGTCCTTCAAAAATCTCACAGTATGTGAATCACAAAAGATGAAGGAATCTCAAGAAATACAGATCTTGAGCAATTCACACATGTTTTGTTTTTGTATAGGGTTTTTTGAATCTGCATTTATCTTCTAAATATCAGTCTACCTACTAGTTCTACAAACTCACCCTGACTTTAACCTCTGCCCTAAAAAATAACTTGAGTTTGTCTGAAGGGTAAGGAGTATGTACAATAAAAATAATTTGACCAATATCGTCTTTGCTCCTTCTTGGATTTCCAGTCTTCATCTTGTGTTACATGCTTGCTGCCCCCATCTTTGGATACCTCGGTGACCGGTACAACAGGAAAATCATCCTTGGAGCTGGTATTTTCTTCTGGTCTGGTGTAACATTAGTCAGTTCATTCATCAGTGAATCGGTATGTTGCTTTTTTAGAGGGTACTGTGAAAATAATCTGCATAAGTCTTGCAGGAGTTGATAGAGTCCTTCTGTGATCACATTTGGAAAAGCTGTCCGTGAGCACTCACTCCCCAAGCCTGGACTAAATGCTTTGTGCAGTAATGCTTTATGGGATTGTGAAGTCCAGCCTAGGCAATGGAGAACCCACACATTGCTGTTGCAATTGATGGGACCTTATTTTTGTGCCAAAAGTTTGATTATGACCTTACAGTGCAGCAGCTTGTTTGGCAAGCTTGTGGTCTAGTGACTGTATCCTGTAATTCCCTCTGGATGTCAGTACGGTGCAGAAAGCACAGCAGTGTGATGCAAGGGAAGCAGGTATGAGTAGAGGGAGTATGATATATGCAAAAGGCAGTTGAATTCTTATTTCCTCTGGCACATTTGATCCACTAAAATGCACCTCTTTAATAGTAAGCTTTCTGTCTTGCATGGGCTTTTTTGGACTATATATAATATGTCTTTTGCCTGCAGTATTACTGGATATTCTTTCTTTCACGAGGACTAGTTGGCATTGGCACGGCCAGTTATTCCACAATAGCACCTACCATGATTGCAGACCTGTTTGAGGAAGGAAAAAGGACCACAATGTTATCTGTCTTCTATATCTTCATTCCAGTGGGAAGGTTGGTTTGCTTGCTAGTAACTGACCAGCCTTTTGAAATTCTGTCTGACCATGCCTGCAATTCAATATACCCTGAGCCTTGATTAGATGGATTTTGATGTATATCTGCACTGGCTCTTGCAAAAGGATTTGTCACTTGCTTAGTGTGTTTAAATAGAGCTGGTAAGGTTTATTATTTCTGTATTTACTTTGAAGAAAAAATTTCTTTTTTTCCACCAACATTTTTTAGGGAAGATCTAAACTCTGAAAACCAGTAGGCTTTGAATAAAATATTGAATCAATTCTAAAATAAATATGTGCATGGGGGTAGGTAATTTATTTCTGGGTTTTGGAAAACAAAAGCTTTCAGATGTTTGTTTACTTGGCAAATTTTTCAAGAACCGTCCATTAAACGTCTCCCAAGAAAGAACTGGAACTTCCCTCTCCTCTTTTAGTTAAATTGACACTGTGTCTGAAGAAGAGGTGGAGAAGGCCTTTTTAAGTGGTTTGGAGGCATACTCTTTATTAGAGCAGGCAGTCAAGGCTAACCCTAGAAGGCAGATTAAAACTGAAGGAATTCCTGCAGGCTTAATTCATGTGGCTAGCACAGAAAAGAGTAAATAATAAACTGCTTTATGGGCTGTTTGGTCTGGGCTTGCAGTGCCATTCTACAGAATATGTATTCCAAGGGGAATCTGGGACATTATTGCCACCATCTCAAGTCTGCTCTGAGGAGGTTAGACTCTCTTTTTAATACTGGCTGGCAAGTAGACTAGCATAGACCATGAGGATTGTTTCTGTTTACCCATTTTGAAAACTATGACAGAGTGCTTCTCTGTGCTTTCCTTAGCTGGCAAGACATGTCATTTCAGCCAGGAAGAATTCTTTGGTGCCTACTGATTATTCCTTTCTGTTGCCTACAGTGGTCTTGGTTATGTCCTAGCAGCTGGCATGGCAGAGGTCACAGGTGACTGGCACTGGGCATTCAGGGTGAGTTCTTCCTTTCTACTCATGGGGCTGAGCCATTCTCTGTAAAATCAGCATCATCACTGGGGTTTGGATTACTTGTACTCATTGTGTTAAAAGAGGTGAGCAGTGGAAGGACTTTGTGCTGTCTGACTGTTCAGGAACTTGGTGTTTAAGAGAACTCTTCCTGCAGGCCAAGCAGAACATTTATGCTCTTGCATAATGAAAGCAGACATAGGTGAAATTGTACAGCAGCCAGGGCAGGTGCTGGTGTTCCTCTTACCTGAGGACACACTTGTAATGGTTATCAGTGCACCAAGGCCTCCTCAAACAGAGGAAACTGAAGGTAAAATGATCATTACACTGGTAGCACCAGTGTAATTCTTCAGGAAAACAGAGATACTGTTTTTTGAAATGCTGCTGGGAACAACTTCTATGATTTGAGGGTTTCAAGAAAAAAAACCCTCTTTTGTTCTGGTCATGTCATCATGATGTCTCTCCATACTGAACACATACTGAACAGTGCTTTGGAAGTACTTTGTCAGGTCCTCCTAATTTATCTATAAAATTAGTTAGCAATACAGGATGAGTAGGGAAGAATGTTTACTGGAATAACAGTCTGATGTTATTCAGATAACACCGATGCAGATTCTTGCATTTGTGGTCAGAGTACTACGGTACGGTTTTCTTTCTTCATATGTTTTTCTCCAGAATCAGAGGGAGTGATCATATATCTCTGTGATGAGGAGGAAAGATCACTATAAATCACCAAAGTTACTCTTCTTCTTTACAAATATGACCTACAAACAGCAAGTTACATCTATTTCTGAATATATCTGCTATTCTCTGAGATGTAATTCTAACAGTGAATTTGAATTGCTGTGGAGTTTTCACTATAAGAAAAAAAGCATCCTTGATCTAACCAGCCTTGTGTCTACAGATAACTCCTTGCATGGGAGGTCTAGCACTGGTTCCTCTGATCCTACTGGTCCCTCACAGGATCCAGAGAAGGACAGCAATACACAGAGCACTGAGCATCTCCGGCACAATACGAGTAGCAGCTGAGAAACCAGGTGTACAGAGAACTGCCAAGACTACTTGGTGTCAAGACGTCATATCACTTGCCAAGAAGTGAGTGATTTTAGTAACAGAGGTTCTCTCCATTGAGGAACAATCATTCCATTATTAGAAATATGACCATCAAATCCTGCTCTATGCAAGATGATTGAAATGCCATTAATAAAAATCTTTCTTCCACTCTTTTACAGGAAAGGTACACGAGAGATCAAAAATTTCTTTGCTTCTGCTATTCTCCCATTCTGAGGAGGGAGAAAGAGGCAAAGTTTTGATGGCAGTGTGATTCTATTTAAATCCAACTCTGCTTTCTACTGTTTCCCCTTCTCTCTTGCTTTAACACATAGGGTAAGCTAGATTGGTAAAAGTGCATATTTTGCAGGTGTAACTTTACCTGTAATTCTTAGTGCCTGAGGAAGGTTGCATCAGCATGTCTCAGGCAGTCCTTATATGCTATTTGTGAGCCTGCTGTACCTCATATAAGAGGTCAGAGCCTATAGGACCCCAATATGGTTTATAGAGTAATTTTACATGTGTTTTGACCAGCTAGTCTGTTGGCTGGCAGATGCTCCACACAAAAATTAAAGTCCACACCAGCTGACCTGCTGGACAAAGTAAAACGCTGTTCGGCGCAGGTTTCTCACGCCTGTGACCGTATGTTCCGTGAGCCCTTGCTAGGGGCAGGGAGGAAGAGATGGATCCGGTTTGAGAACGGCAGGTGCCGCTGTGCAGCTGTGCCAGAGCCGGCTCCGCACTGCCTGTGCCTGCAGGCTGCTGCCCCGGGGTCCCCAGCAAATGCTTTTGGTTTAAAGACTTGCTTTCCTGGGACCTTGTCTGTCTTTGGACTGTTCCTCTTCTAGAGGATCCAGCGTTTTCTAATTGATGATCAGATTTGCATCCTGTTTGTGTCCAGAATAGCAAGTACGTTAGAGATCCAGTTTGTGGGATCACAATTTGTAGGCAGTACAGTCTGAAGTGAATCAAAAATGAACTTTCCTGAATCAAAAATTAACCTTTTGGACATTTCAACAACTAGACTATCATCAAAGTTGCTTTCCTACAAAGATGTTCCTTACAAACCTTCAGCAATGTTGTAAAAATAGATTTTGATTTTCTTTTCCTTTAGCAACTGATTTCCAAAGCATAACAGCATACTGCCAAAAACCAGGTGGTTCCAATTTTAATCATGTCCAAGAGCCCATTATCTTTAGAAGGTGAAGGATTAGGTTCATATCTTAACAAATCCTCTAGTCTGGTGGTCACCTGGTCATTTGCAGCACTTTTATTTAGTCTTAAGTTTTCATACCTCCCTATTGACCTCACATGGGACTTTCTGCTAAACTATTAACTAGAGAGACTAGTAAAAAAGTTAATTTTCTCATAGAATAGGGCAGGAAGGAGAAGAGATTTGGACAGTTTTTTAAGGTGCTTCTCCTTTTGTCTGAAAACTCTCTGTGCTGACTGAGAGTCTATTTTTACTCAGGTAGAGTTAAGGAGTGCTTCAGCCACTGCATCTTAACAGTTTGGAAGACCCAGATGTTACTCTCATTTATATTGGTTACACAAACAACTTAAAACCCTCCTGAGGCATTTAAACTTTCACATATAACACTTTAATTTAGCTACTAAGGCATTACATTCATTCCCACTGTCTATTGTTGTAGTTCTATCAAAAAATTCATAGCAATGGTTTTAGCAAAAGTTGGCAGCAAAATCTGCAAGAGACCAGGACTGGGATTTTACATTAAATCAGTAGGTCATACTCTTTGCTCTAATTAGTACTTTACTGTTGAAGTTAACAGATGAAGCCTGAACAAAATTTGTATCTTCAAGGGAGTGCATTTTGATTATAAGATGTCTGAATGAATTGTTTCGTTATTGCTTGAAATCCTGGATATTGCAGGTAGGCTTTCCCTTTTTCCTCACACTGCATTCTTTCTAGCCTCTCTCATTTCTTTATTTTGACTTTCAGTTGGAGTTTTGTCTGGTCCTCGCTTGGTCTGACTGCCATGGCCTTTGTTACTGGAGCCCTGGGGATGTGGGTACCGCTGTTTCTTTACAGGGCTCAGGTTGCCCAGGGCATTGTATCACCATGCCTCCAAGAATCATGCAATTCATCTAACAGGTGAGGTGTGCACGACGGTGGAAACACACTTGGAAACACTGCACAGTGCTAAATCGCAGTTTGTTTCCAAAGACAGAAGGTAGCATCTGACTGTGAACACTTCTTGTCAAGGCAATTGGGAGTGAATGTTAGACTAAATTGCTTCCAGGTATGCTGAGACACTCCTATTTGTTTGTTTGTTTGTTTGTTTATAATCATTCGGTTAACTGGAAAGATGCTGCCAGCCCTATTGAAGTAAAGCGGAAAAAAGCAGTAACAGGAACACTTGCAGGGAAAGGAGCAGCTTTAGCAAGGAGACTTCAGTTGACCATCAACTGTGCACCCCAAGCTACTTAAATACCCTTTTAAGTATGTTTAGATACTATGTTTTGGTCACTTTCCTACTACCTCCTTGTTAGTCTGGTTTTAAAACTTCTGCTGTGTTGGCCAGATGATTGTGACTCCCAGCATAAAGCAAGCTTGATGAATTTGATCTAGTATCATATCATTACATTAAAACAGGATAATTCAGTCTTGTGAGTAACTGCCAGCAGAGCTCTGCTTACAGAGGCTGTCCAGACCAATAAAGATTCATGAATAAGTATCAAAGGTTGGATGGGCAAAGGGAATTTACAACAGGAGAGGACTTTGAAGTAATCATGATATAACTTTTTGGAGATCACCTTCCCCCCAGCTAGGAAGAGAATTTTTTTCTTTACAATGTGTTATGCAGAATAGAAAAATGTATTCTGTGTTCCCCTTGAGTCTTCATGGCTACTCTCAACAACAGTGAGCACTGGGACATTTCTCTTCTATGTACTGACTCCCTATGAATAGCCTCCGTACAAGTGTCCCCACCTTTCTTCTGGAGGCATCCCAAATTGGGTTTCAGTCTGCCTTCATGATGGGTTTCCAAGAACCAACTGCTTATTACATTGTCTTTCCAGGTAAAGACAATTAAAGGGAAAAGCATTAATCATACCTTGAGTGTGTCCTTTGGTAATTGGGTCCTTTTGCTTTTCTGCAATAGAATAACCAAGTCAAACTCAAAAGTGGTTTCCAAGATGTAGTGTAACTGGATGGATTGAATAGGCATTTGCAAGTACTTCAATGGGAAACGCTATCATCTTTCCATGGACGCCACCATTGGCACATCACTTAAGGAATAATGCTGAGGAAGGGAGTGAACTCAGGAGTGTGGCTCAGGGTAGGCAGAGAAGGGAAGCTGAACAGTTTAAACTGTTAACAGACACAGTTTAAATGCTTCCTTTATTAAGCTGAAGGTGTTAGCCTGTGTTTTGTTTTCTAATCCAGTTTCTGAATTATTATTCCACAGTAGTGTTGCTAGAGCAGACATGGTCTTCAGGGAAGTAAAATGGAGAACCTGATAGCTTAACCTCATGTACTGCTTCCTACAGGATGCTTTAAAAATAACCTTGGCATAAGCTAGCGCCAGAAGCAGCATAACGCTGGTTTTAGACTGTTATTCCACGGGGATGTAAAGAAACGTAATATAAACAACGATGTCAGACCTGTAGCTGGTGGTGCTGGAAGAATTGACCTGCGCATACCCAGACCTGCCCAGGGCTACTTTAAGGACGTTTTCCCCTCTGGCTGTTCGGCAGTTGCAGGCTTTGTTTAAGGATCAGGGCTGTGTCACTTAGACTCCCTGGAAACACAAATTCAAATGGCACAACAGCTGACTCAGGTCTCAATCCTTTCAAGGTAGATAAATAGGCAGTGTGAAGTTTTTATGCAGGTCTTTGTGCAGACACTTCTGAACAGATCAGATAAATGAGCATTCTCAGACCCTAAAAGATCCCATAGGAGCCTTTCCCCAGAACTAGGCTTCTGTACTTTCCTGCTCCCTGTCAACTGAATGGTGCTTGGATTTAGTTTTGGCGGTTCCCTTTTCTTCCAGCTGTAGGTTTATTTGAACTGCAGTTTACAACCCATTAATCTTCTAAACACAATTCCATGAATGCTTTGATCAGCTAATGCCACCTTGGAACTTGCATCTCCTGGACATATCTCTAAGATAGTTATTCTGCCTCGTGACAATCTATATTGTCACTATCAAGCTATAGTGAGTGATGGATCAGAATCCTGAAGAACTTACAGGGACAGTACAATTATCTTGTATAGCAATACTTTTTTTTTTTTTCTTGTAGGTTTATTGAGTTCTTCCTAATCAGCCAGAAACAAATTTAAAAGTAGATGCACTGTAGTTTAAAGGAATAGATCATATCCTCACTGGTTGCTTTGCAGTCAGAGAAAGCTTAGCAATATGCACAGAACTTACCATGTAGCACTTTGAAATATTTAGAAGCACTGTGCTCAGAACACAATGCTCTTGTCCCCATTTGCCTCGGAAGAATTATGATGCATTAAATAATCAGTGGCACCACTGGTCTTGTTGCAAGAGACTGGCTTTGTCATTAGGCTCCCATCTGGGACAGAGAGAAAAGCATATATGGAAGTCCCCTTGGAAGCTGAATGTTCTAAGCTATTCAAACACATACTTTTAAAACATGAACTTGTCATTCCTGGAGAACACATTTGCATTTGCAGACACAGAAAGCTGAGTTGCATTTGAAATTCTGTGTTCAGAAAATACTACATGGACCTCCCACTAGTTAACTATTCACTATTCTTTGAACTCTTTTGGGAAGTGGTAGATGTTTCCCGTAGTCAGAGAAGTGACTCATCTCAGCTGTGCTAACTAGAGGGTTATAATTTAGATGTATGTAATTCCACGTGATAGGATCTCTTCCAAGACAGCAGATTGTGATACAGAGTTATTCCATCTGTATTTTAGGGATGACTGAGTAGATTGGTTCACAGGGTAACCGAGATGACTGTGTCTCCTCTAAATCACTGGATGCCCAAGCCAGGTCATACTGAGAAGAGGCCTTCTTGAGCCTGGGTGCATAACACCTGCTCTGCAAAAGGGAAAATATCTGCTCCACAGGGTAGAGCCTCAGTTGCAGAGGCATAGCTTCAATTGAGGCTTGGGATTAAATCCATTTAGAAGGAGTGGGAGAGTTAGATGAAGTGCAATAAAATTCAAGTTTCCCCTTAAATATTCCTCTGAAACTAAAGGTATACGCTAACACCATTTTTTTCCCACAGTATGGTCTTACTATGCTCAACTGAATCCTTTGCTTTGTCACCAGCCTAATATTTGGAGGCATTACCATTGGGACAGGAATCTTGGGTGTCCTTGTTGGGGCAGAAGCTGCAAGAAGATTAAGGAAGATAAACAATAAAGTTGATCCTCTGATCTGTGCCACAAGTATGTTCGTTTCTGCTCTGTGCCTCTACATAGCTCTGATGGTGGCCCAGACAAGCATCCTTTCCACTTTCGTAAGTGCCAACCTATCTAGCATTAGCAAAATGTCTTCTGGTATCCTGGGGAGAAAAGGGAAGGGGAGACGTAAGGCATTATGTTGAGCCCTTGTGCGGCTAGGTGAGCGGGCAGCCCCAATGTGAGTGCGGCTGTGCGAGGGCCACTGAGGGAGGTTTCAGGCCAGGCACCCCTTCTGGGGCTGGCACCTTTGGCCTGGGAGCATGGGCTCAACGTTTACATTTTTGAGGATGCATGTAAATTTTTGACAAGAGAGGAGAAGTGAATGGTGGCTTTTGCAGAATTCTCTGCAATCTTCTAAACCATTGAGAGGTTTCAGTGACTTGTGACGAGGTGGCCTGCCAGCTAAGCACTGTGCATGTTGCTCTAATACTGCCCGCAGCTGCAGTCTGTCTTGTGAGAGCTGCACCACGTTGTGCATTACTTGGTCCAGTAAAAAGGGCGGGCAGTCAGAGCATTATAAATTGGGCCTCAGGACCTATAGAGTCTGCCCGCACTAAAGAAGAGAATAGTAAGCCTAGGTAGTTAGCTGCATGAAGCCAGAGTGTCCCTTATCTAAAAATGTAGTTAAAGGAATTCTCAGTATTATGTTACTTTTTAATGCTATATGTGACTAATTTAGTATTCTTATTTATTTTTGCTCTCTGAATACTTAAAGATTGCTGTACTTGTGACTGTACAATATGCACAGTTCTGGCTAAGAATAATTTAGCCATTACCTTTAAAGCCCCAAATCACTAACTGTTCTTCAAAGTCAAACTTTTGGCAATGCAAATTGAAGTATAAATCACTTAAATTCTGTTCTCAATAAAGGGGAAAACAGAAACTTACTAGGAATGATGAATAGTTCCAAAAACTCCCTGTGAGAGGGAACTGAATGTAAACTTTAACTATAATCTGGTAACAGCTAGGG